GTTCAGGAAAGGGAAGCCCTCCAGAAAAAGACGTCCAAATGATTGGAAGGGATGTGAGGAGTTGTGGCTACCTGAATGTCTTCCACAGTAGTGCCACCGAGCATGGCAGCTGAACTGCATCTGTGGTTCTGAAACCCCTGGGTTATCTCCATGGTTTGGACTCAAACACAAAGCTACTCACCCCTGCCCCATCCTCCTACTTTCCCTGCAGGACTATTAGACTCCCATAAAGAAGAGAGGGGAGGGAACGGAGCCTTTTGACAAAGAGCAGCTCCCTGGAGACCAGGGGAAGTGATTGGTTTTGCATATGAGGACCACAGTGCGGAGATCCAGGACACCGCAGCTAGCAAATTCCCCAAATTCCTCTTTTCTCTCAAGAATTCTCTGATTAGCTGGGAAGATAGTTTGGCGTGTAACGCGGAAAGAAAGGTCATCCTGCCTGCGGAAGCCTGTTCCGTATACAATGTCCTAGAAAGGCTACTTTTTGTTTTCAGCACTGCTGAGAACAGCTTGGGCTGCTGCAGCCCATGTGCCTGTAGGAACAGGAGTGGGGAGGTTTGCTCTAACACTGGATGTGAACAGCAAAATGTCCAAGAATTGCATTGGATGGGCCTTCTGTAAAGGGCTATTATTAGAAACCACATATTTATGTGCCTTTAATCCACTAGTTGATCCAAGTTAGCTTCTGTCATCAGCGTGACACAGATGGCAGCTACCACATGTTACTTTCCATTTCCATTGCAACATCAGCTTAAAATGAAGACAATCTCTCCAGTGTAAAGTGCAGAAGGCAGTGCGTGCAGCCCTGTGGCTTTCAGCAGAGACAAAATGAAGATCCAGCCTATTTAGATATTTGGCTATGCAGGGAGCTCCTCAATTACTTTGCTAATTAAGCAAAGATGCCCAAGTGTCAGCAGAAACTCTTCAGCGTCCCACCCTCCATTTGTCTCCCTGTAGATGAGCACATCCAGCCACCCTCACATTCAGCTACCCAGGGAGCAACAAAGCTGAAACAGGTTCAACCACCTGGAAACTACAGTCATCTCTTCATTATTCATCTTTGTACTACAGCTATTAGGAAAAAAAGAAGGGAAAAAAGGTCATTCCCATGCTTTCACTGGGGAGAAACGACATGGAAATGACATCAGTGACATCATTATCCAAAGTATACATTTGTGTCTGGAGTTCCAAGGCCATTTCCTAATGAAGCACATGTGCTTTACTAGGTTTATTTTGAAAATCTATTTGCTTATTTTCCAGCCATGATCAAAAGAACATTCAGAGTGTTCTCTAGGAGCCACTTGAACCCTGTAGACCAGGAAAGTTTTCTCCTAGCCATAGCATCAGTCAGCAATAATATAATTTATAAAATAAACCTAACTGTATGAAATGTTCTGCTGTTTCCCGCCAGTAAACAGATAGTGCTTTGGAAGTTGTTGCCCTTGGGTGGCAGGACAGACTCTTCTCCCCCAAATTATGCAAATCTTCATTTAGTGTGTATGACTCGTCACCAGAGGTGCTCCTTCCACAACCTCCAAACCCCAGAGCCTCTTGACAGATGCTGTTGCTTAGTAGCTGTTGCCATAACACTGGCTCTTCTAATACCTTGGATAAAAAAATTACAAAACATGGAAATCCATTCTGAGAAGCTGAGAAAAAGGAATCCTACCTTAATATTAAAATTGTCATCAAGAAGGATGTTTTCCAATTTTAGGTCCCTGTGGACAACACCATTCTGAAACAAGAAATAAAAAAACAGAGAGGAGAATATGAGAAAATACAGGGAAAATTAAAGGTGAGCTGGCAGGGTGGTCTTTGCATCTACATTTCAGGGCTGATTTCACTGTCATAACACTCACGGCCCAGTGACTAGTGACAGGCGATGTATTAGTCACTTGGTGTGTGGTTAAGGGAAGAATGACTGGAATCTGTCCTCCCACAAAGCTTCTAAAACAGCAGGAGGGGTGGGGGGGTGCAGGGGTGTCTTTTTGGAACCTAATTCCAGCCCGGATCCTGCCCCCACGGCGTGCAAGCGATATATTCTTCCCAGGCACCAGAAAACAATATCTGTCAATGACGTTAGTCCTTACAAAGGCCCTCATTCCTCCGATGTGCAGCCACGTGGATCGGGGTACTAACAATCCTACAGGATGTTAGGGATGGAAGTGAACAAGCTGGGTTTAGGTCAGAGACTTCTCTAAAGAAATTCAGGGAAAATTAACTGCACAGAGTGCTGCAGCTTTTCAGTGCTGCACAGTGAAGACTTTGAAAACTGCCCTTGTTTACCAGAATTCAAGTGGAGATGAAAACGTTTAAGAATTCAAATAAAAATTATGCTACCTGCTTGTTGCCTTTAGCCTCATGCAAGTTTTGGCTCTCTGCAGTATCACAAGCAGGGATAAAAGGTCCATGATGACAGTCAGTCAGCTACCTTGGGTTCAACTGCCTAAACTGCCATGTAACATGATGACTAAAGTAATTTGTTTGAATGTATAACATTAATCTTGTAGAAGCACTATGGGGTGCCTTTTCTAGTTTATGTTGTGTATTAGTTTTTTCATGTCAGGACAATTCTTTCCAAGGCAAAAATGCAATGTAGGACTAACGTAAGGGAGTGGCTGGTATCTGCCATAACACAGGAAAGCATCCTTAGTCTTTAAAAACAGGCAGCCTACTACTGCAGCTTTTTAACGATCTTCTGCGGTACTGATATAATCACATGCTATCGTCCTTAATAATGTATACTGTTGCTTCAGACATGCTTTGAAATATCCAAGTCACTAGTCAGCCTTCAAGTAGCATTTTTTCATATCAAATCCTTTGCTCACCTTGTGGCAGTAATGCACGGCAGAGACTATTTGCCGAAAGAAGTGTCTGGTCTCCCTTTCGCTCAGTCGCCGCCTCTCACTGATGTAATCATACAGCTCTCCTTTACTCGCATACTCCATGATGATCACAATCTTATCTTTATTTTCAAACACTGCACAGGATAAAAGGAAAAAAAAAATAAATCACACCACAGTTGACTCGATACATTTGAAAACTGACACTTTGCAGGGTGAGGAAGACTCAGGATGACTAAACACATCCTGTGTCATCACTGCAGCCTGGAGAGATGTACTACCTACCCCACTGCAGAAAGGAAGCTGCAAAGGTGGATTTTTCCAGTGGAAGATCATGACGTTCAGACTAAGAGAAGGAAGTTGAGGCTACCTTCACCTTCATATGGCTATATGAAAGAAGCTCTTTGCCTCTATAATATGGGTGACAGAGCGACAAAGTCAGCTTGTTACTAATGAGGTGAGGTGGACACTTGCGCCAGCAACACCTGAATACTAACCCCAGTTCCCACTTTTATGAGTAGTCCTCTTGACACCAGAGGACAGAAGAAAACAGGACCTATCACATCACTTGGAAAGGGTTAGTAGGAGGCATAACAAACTCTGTCTTCAACAATTGGTTGATACAGGATTGCCATTTGGCCCATAAAGACTGTTGGTTGGCTTTCACCTACCATCAAAACCCAACAAGTTAATTGATGCATGTGTCCTCTTCCAGCCCAACTCTGTGCAACAGCATAGTGGCCACCAACACCTGAGCTAACAGTAGCTGCAACATCTCTGGAGCTGTACAGCTCTTGCTAGTACATCTCTGCACCCTGTCTCAAGTACCCAATTCATCCCCAAGCTTACTTATCTCCTGCCACCACCACAAGTCCTGTTGCATGATGTAGATATGTCCTTTGCAACTTGTGCAAAGCAGGCAACGCACGACTCCCACGTAAGCAGTGAAGGAATATTCATCTAATACACGTCACAACTTGACTGTTCTTTGGAGCTCAGAGTACTTTGTGCCACATGCTGTCAAGGACTTCACTGGGAGTTGCAGATAACTAAACACTTAATCCTGTAAAGCATGCTGTGAGTAGTCTCAAATTGCCACAGTGCCCTAGTTGCTAAATAGTTTTTCCCTTCTGATACTGAAAATCCACTGCAACCCACTGGAAACTTCCTGTACCTGCCATAAATAACCTCTGCTCATATTAAAACAGGGAGATTTTCCTTCTCTTTTTATCTGTGGCAGCAGCCTGCTGAGGCCAGGTCACGCTGGCAGCAAAGTATCTGCAAATTAATGAGGTTCCAGGGGTTATTGCAAACGGATGCTAGTTTTGACCAGCCCTACTGGAATGATGCCTTCCTATATCTCTTTAGCAAATCTCATCCAGTAGTCCATGGTGTTTTGGTTTTTTTCTAAAAAAAACCAACTTCTTCAGCTTCTGCAGTGAAATGAGAAGCTGCCTCTCTCAACACACAGATATTTGCTGCTTTTAGGTTTTGTCTCATGTCCTCTCACACCTTGTCACTCAACTCTAAAAGCCAAAGCTTCTGCTTTTCCCTCTAACACCGCTGAACTCCAGCCAAACAGCTCTGATAAAAGGGAGAGTGAACAGCCAGATAAAACTGGCTGCTTACTTGTCTGCTGGCCTCACTGTACCCTGAAGCAGAGGCTCCTGCCAGTGATTACATCCTATGTGCATCCTCATT